AATATGTCACGTGGCTCTGCCAAGAACTGGTAACTGATGTTTTGCTCATACTAAAGTCTGCAATGATTGCCTTCCAGCTGGGTTGGCAGGCAAAGGGGTCCAGATAAAAACCATCTCCCTGCAGAGCTTTTGTGGATTTTGCACTTTTTAATACAGTTAAGACTCCCCAGATTTGTTATTAGGCTAACAGCTGTCTTGTGTTTCCACCTCAATTTTTCAAGAAAAATCTCTTCAAGATTATTTTAGGGTCAAATCCTAAAATTTGTGGTTAATCCTGGTGGAGAGTGAGGCCTGACGCCAGACAGAGCAGGCGCAGTTAGAAGGGAGCTCACTCTGCTCACCTGGGACGGCCCACTTAACTCTCTGTATTAAGAACATTCCATGGTATGTTTCCCTTAAAAATGCTTCTATATGACCCCATATTAGACATGTTTTCGGAGTTAAGCCCGAATCTCACTCATTTCCCACAAATAAGTTTCTCCTATTAAATGATCACTTACAAATTAAAGTGGAGGACAGGAGTCCTGCCGCGCCAGTCTAAGGAAAGCGGCCGAGCACTTTTCCATCATACAGAAAATGTAATTGGTGCTTTCTTATTTTTTTAATACTCAATTTAATTCCTATTTATAGTTATTAGGTCCTATTCCCCCTAGTTAATTCCTTTTGAAAACACTGAAATTTTTGCTTAGCTATGAGAGAAATCTTAAGTTGCTGTACAGGAACATGGACCATTGGGAGGAGTAGAGACCTCGGAAAAGACATTTATAGGGAAAGCACTATTAAAGAGAAATGACCAACCTTCAAAGTGGGCATTGAGGACTTACCCAACACATAAAACAGCAGCCTGACACGTGAAAAAAGTGTCAGCTGTAGAGGACACGTTCGAGCAGATGGGCAGAGGGATTCAAAACACATCATCTGAAAGGGGCCTAGGATACTGAAAACAAAACCAAAGGCACCTTTAGAGCATATCCCGTAGCCCATGGTAGCTTAACCGCTTGCTTGCCCCAGACCCCGTGTGCAAGACAACCTTGCACCAAGACCGCCTCTCTGGTTGGACTGACCAGTGGGTCATCCCCAGGTGAGACCCGAGCCAAGAAGAAATGATCAAAAGTGTTACATCCTCCTCCTCGCAGGCTTCATCCAAATGCAGGAATATTTGTGGAAAATATTCCCAGTGGCCACTGGATGAGTTTCAGACAGAACCCACGCAAGTCTGGGTAAGCACGGGATTTGGCACAGAGGTTGCCTGGACACCTGAGTTCAATCTGGCACTTTCTTGGATATCAAAATTCAACCTAAAAAATTCATCCTCCAGCATATTAATTAGGCAATGACTTGGACCTCATTCTATTATTTTTGTTTTTCTCACCTGGTAGTCTCTTTTTTAAAAATACAATTAATAGAATTTCAAGGGCAAATAATTGTTCAAGGCTGCCTTCTTCACCTCCCACTTCTCTCCAGTCTCCTAACCCCTCTGCTGGTAGTGGGAGTTTCTAGGCTGGCCAGAAAGAAAGAAAATAATCCCTGGTTCCCATGAAATCAAGCTTATGTTGTCTGTACTGAATCTCACTAATTTGAAACTGCCTCAAAATACAGATGGCAGTGTCTTCTCCAGGTATATGTCCAAGTGTTTCTGAAACAGCTAAGTTCAACTCTTAGTAAAATTGTACCAGTATCAAAATTAGGAATTACTCCAGGTCTCATTAGCAGAAACCAACCTTTGTCATATTGAATGTAATCTTCCTAATGACTTAGTAAATACAGGATGTGTTCACCAAAGTAAACCTATTTCCAAAAAGAAAATTTAATATCATATCACAAGGTAATTTTTAAAAACAGTACCATAAAAATCAACATGATTATTTAACCTCTTCACTTCCAAAGTATAGCTATGTACTCATTTTATGTATTTGGTATGTTCCCAAAAATTTGTCTGAAAACGTCAATTTTCAAAAAGCCAGTTGAGCCGGGCATGGTGGCTCACACCTATGATCTCAGCACTCTGGGAGGCCAAGGCAGGAGGATCACTTGAGCTCAGAGTTTGAGACCAGCCTGAACAAAAGTGAGACCCCCATCTCTACTAAAAATAGAAAAATTAGCTGGGCATAGTGACACATGACTGTAGTCCCAGCTACTTGGGAGACTGAGGCAGGAGGATCACTGGAGCCCAGGAGTTTGAGTTTGAGATTACAATGAGCTATGATGATGCCGCTGAACTCTAGCTGGGGCGATAGAGCAAGACTCTGCCTCCAAAAAAAAAAAATTAAAAAAAGCAAGTTGAAACTGTCATTTCAGAGGACTTTATCTTCATGTCCTATTTATACTCCACTTAGAATATTTTTATTAAGTTTCTATTTCACCAGCCCACCCTATAAATGCTTTGATAAGAAAATATTTTTAAGAACCCTAGTGTGTAAAAGAATTCTTTCTTGCTATAAGTAATTACCCCTAAATAGTTCTCTTTTTTAAGGAGAGTTCACAAACCAGGTCTTGTTCAAGTGGTGTGCTCATCAAGCCTATAGAATGTGGCTCTGAAGCTGACACGCTGGCCAGCTCTTCATCCTTCCGTGAAAGAGCACACCGTGCACCTCCACCGCCCACGGTGTCCCTGACTCCTCTGGGTGGCCAGTGTGGGGGTTGTGGCTGCTACCTACGAGGCCCTGCAAGATGGAAACTGAGTTCGCAGTGCCCCAGGGAAGAATCACTGTGGCTGTAACCCACACCCTCAGGTCCTTTCTCCAGCTCACATGCTGGGCCCCTTGGGACAACACAGGATTAAGGAAGGGCCATTAGTGGCCCAGGGAGATTTGAATTCCCACATCCTCTGTGAAAGTGATCACACGTAGACACGCATCCCCAAATAATCCACAGGTTCTATGAATGCAAATCACAAGGGATGAATCTGCGTGAAGACGACAGCAAGGGCTGGGGAAGAACATGGCTCAGATCCTAGCTAAGACCACAGACTCTCGGCCCTTTGACACAGTGACAGTAACAACACGACATCAGTCCTCACAGGCCTGTGAGGGAGGCATGTGGAACTAGTTAGTTGATTGTCATTGCAGGTTTCACAATGTCAAAAATAAAAGGGTTAGCCCACTTCCTATGTGTATGCCATTTTCTCCCCTCTGCAACTTGCGGCCCTTCCAAGTCAGGTTTCTCCCATTCATTCCAAAGCCTTCGAGACGATTTCCAAAGGGGTGGAAGGGAGATGGAAGGTAAGAAAGGGACCGACCACGTCGAAATCCTAATGAGGCCATCGAGATGGAAACTGTGTTCCAGTGTGCCCCCTGGTAACAAGCACAACTGTGGCTTTCTTACCCTGACTCCTAGGGCAGTAAGGGGGGAAAGACAGTCCGTGACAGAGCCTACCGTAACCAAACGATGGCCAGCTGCACGGCAGGAAGATGACAACGCCCAGGATCACGACATGCTGGAGTTCACGCTTCTTCAGGCTTTGACCTCCTCTGGGAGCCTGTTCACCTCAGGGCCAGGTGTCACTGAGACTGCAGGTTCTGAGAGCCCTCTTTGCTCTCCCTGTCCTCTGCCAGGCTGCACTCAGACGCCGTGACTGAGGACTTGTACCCGCGAAGCGTGTGGGCATTCAGCATCTCCAGCAGCAGGTCGTACACCGGGACGACGTTTTTGCACTTCATGCTGAGCAGGTGTTCCATGCCCTTGTTACTGTGGGGACAAAAAGGGGTTGAGGTTCCTTCCCTCAAGGCAGCCACAGGAACATTGAAATCTTCCCCAGCTCTCCTGCACAGGGCCAGTCTGCCCCACCCCACCCTACCCCCACCATCCCCCCGGCTTCCCCGATCTACACTCAAGGGCAAGGACCATGTCAACTTCTGTGTCCCCACCACCACCCACAATGGCCTGGCATGGTGCCTGGCATATAGTATTAATACAATCCTCTCTCATTATTCATATTACTTTATTCTAATAAAGTCACTTCAAACACGGAATTAGTCAATGCCAAAGCACTGCCCCCGGGGGAGACACAGGGTTAGGTTCCTGCAAGCCTCTGCTCACATTTTCACCAGCTGATCAACACATAACCTTGTTTCATGTGTGTTTTGTTTTTTTTTTTTTTTGAGACAGTCTCACTCTGTTGCCCAGGCTAGAGTGCCATGGCGTCATCCTAGCTCACAGCAACCTCAAACTCCTGGGCTCAAGAGATCCTTCTGCCTCAGCCTCCCGAGTAGCTGGGACTACAGGCATGTGCCACCATGCCCAGCTAATTTTTTCTATATATTTTTAGTTGTCCGATTAATTTCTTTCTATTTTTAGTAGAGACGGGGTCTCGCTCTTGCTCAGGCTGGTTTCGAACTCCTGAGCTCAAACAATCCGCCCGCCCTCCCAGAGAGCTAAGATTACAGGCGTGAGCCACCGCACCCGGCCTTCATGTGTTTTTATTTAAAGACATCTAATTAAATATATATTGTTGGTTCATTAACTTTGATCTCAAGGCCAACAGCACTAACTCATGCTTGAATGAAGGTTATCTAACATGTATTTTCTTTGTAAGGCACATGACAGCTTTCTTGGGCCGAGGAACCCTAGACAACACTTCAGCACTACCTAGGGGGCCGTTTTAAACAGTGAAATCACCCACAAAAAGGACAAAAATGTAAAAACATGGCAATAAATAGATCATGTAAAGGACACTTGTTTATGGTATGGGAGCTGAAACAAACAAGAAGGCAGAGCATTTTCTTGTTCAACCTCAGCTGGGAACATGCAGAGAGTGACCCAAAATTTTTGCCACTCTGTGCATGACCTTGAAAGCACCGTAAGTATTGATTTGGGGATTATAAATAAATTTTAGCAAGCAGGTAAATTCACAAATATGGAGTCTCCAAGTACTGAGGATGCCTGTATCTGTTCTGCAAATGGTTGTGTGCTAAATCAACATCAAAAAGGAAACAGAGAGGCAGAGGCCTTTTTCATTTCTTCCCCCTTGTTCTTGAGATGTACACCGTCCTTCCCTGCAGCCTTTAGACTCTCTTCCTCCTCAGGTGAGCAGTTGCCTTCCATCCTTATCTCCCCTCTGCCCTCCTCCTGGGTGACACTGGGCATCACTGTCCCAAAGGAGCCATCACCAAACCCTCCCCTGGCATCAGTGCACACTAGTTATATTTCCTGGCCTGGAATATGCCCTACCCACAGCCCTGCCTTCCTAACCCTGCTGAGTTCACCCGTCCTCTTAGGTCTCATCCTTAATACCCTAATGCAACTGAAAGAGAAGGACTCTCAGGGAAGGCTTTGTGCACTTCCCCTGATCATCAGCTCAAGGGGAAATCTAGGAGAGCCGGACGTAGCCTCCTCATAAGAATGGCTTTGCTATAAGGAGGGGTGGCAGTTCATTTTAGGGGAGGAACTGCCCCTTTTAGGACCCCATAAACAAGCTGTCATCCCCAGCAACTGGAAAACATGAGCCATCACTGGGATGCCACGAAGATCCTGTGAGGTGCCACAGGACATGTGTTCAGTGCCCACTCTGTGCCTATCTTTGGTTACGGATGTGTGAACTGACGAAGCCCTCCATTCCGTTTCAGGGGTGCGTTTTCTGTGACTTGTAAATACTTTTCCCTAAGCTCTTCACCCTGCTCTGAGCATGTCTCCCTACCCCACCCCACGCCCGGCCAGAGGAGTTCCTGCAGGCCCGTACCTGGCGTGCCTGACGTGTGACAAGAGCATCAGGAGATTGGCCAGGCGGACAGACTGCTGCTGGGAGGAGATGCCGCTCTTGGCGATCACCCAGACCAGCGCGTCGGTCACGGCGTTCAGCAAGTGGGTCAGCTTCTGGCTGCTCTCGGCCTCCTGGGCCGCTGCGGCCAGAGGGTGCATACCTGGGCAAGGAATAAAAGCCAAAAGTCATTGCTCTGAGAAAAGAAAACTGAAGTCGTACGCTCAGCCGTTAAGCGTGCCTATGTTCTCCGAGGTTGATCGGGGTTGCTCTGACATCTGCATGCGTGGTGAGATCATAAGAGCACAGTCTCACCGCCCCAGGGAGCTCTTCCCTGAGCCAGCTCCATCGCTGAGCTGGAGGGGAAGCCTGGCTGAATGCAGGGCGGACTAAACGACCTCTCAAAGCACCCACCAGGCCCAGAATTACAGCCTTGCCGTAGCAGTAAATGTATCTGGTCGCCTCAGACCATTACAGGGTGTTTCTCATCGGCAGCAACATATGCAGGTACAGAGATGGTCTAAGGGGAGTTTAACAAACATAAACAGTGGCCAATGCTATGAAGCCTCCCCTGCCACCCATTCATGCCACTGACAGCAGTGTAGGGCCCCTGCCGCTTCTGTCCCAGGCCTTTGCGTCTCACTGCTGTGGCACCTTGCTGGGCAGGAAGACCACCAATTTGGGGTCAGACAGACCTATTTTCCGTCAGCCATGTCTAGCTCCCTGAGCCTCAGTTCATTAAACAAAGCCTGCAGGAACACATCTCCTTAGGTCACCACCACCACCCTGCCAGGTAGGTTGCCTCCCCCATCCCACCCTGCCCTGTGTTTAATTCCCCTCTAAGGATCTGAGATACTGTGGTCTCCCAATGGTTGCAAAATAACAGCTCAAATCTCCCCTCATCCCCAGACGAAGTCCTTGAGAGAAGCCAACTTAGCTTCTCTTCCAGGCTTTCAATTTCAAAGCAAAAATAAATAACGTGAAATCTTTTTCAAAAGAAGATACACAAATGACCAATAAACATGAAAAAATACTCAACATCACTAATCATCAGAGAAATGCAAATTAAAACCACAATGAAATACCATCTTACTCCAATTAGAATGGCCATTATTAAAAACTCAAAAAAACAGTAGATGTTGGCATGGTTGTGGTGAAAAGGGAACATTTATACACCATTGGTTGGAATGTAAATTAGTATAACCACTATGGAGATCAATATGGAGATTTCTCTAAGAACTAAAAGTAGATCTACCATTCCAACCTGCAATCCCACCACTGGGTATCTACCCAGAGGCAAAGAAATCATTATATCAAAAAGAATGAATGAGGCCGGGCACAGAGGCTCACACCTATAATCCTAACACTCTGGGAGGCCGAGGCAGGAGGATTGCTTGAGGTCAGGAGTTTGAGACCAGCCCAAGCAAGAGCAAGACCTCATCTCTATTTAAATTTTTAAAAAAATTATAAAAAGAATGAATGAAATTATGTCTTTTGCAGCAACTTGGATGGAACTGGAGACTATTATCCTAAGTGAGGTAACTCAGGAACAGAAAAATAAATACTACATGTCCTCACTTATAAGTGGAGCTAAACTATGCCTACAAAAAGGTACACAGAGTGGTATAATGAACATTAGAGACTCACAGTGGGGAAGGTTGACAGGGGATGAGGGATGAAAAATTACCTATGGGTACAATGTATACTACTCTGGTGATAGGTAAACCAAAAGCCCAGACTCCACGATACAATAAATACATGCAACAAAATTCAACCTGTACCCGCAAATCTACTAAAATAAAAAAAAGGGAGGGGGAAAACAAATATGTGAAATCAACCAGGGAGCTGCCGACTCTTTTTTTTTTTTTTTTTTTAAACAAGACAGAGTCTCGCTCTGTCACCCCAGGGTAGAAAGCAGTGGCATCAACGAAGCTCACTGCAACCTCAAACTCCTGGGCTCAAGCGATCCTCCCGCCTCAGCCTCCTGAGTAGCTGGGACTACAGGCATGTGACATGGCGCCCAGCTAACTTTTCTATTTTTAGTAGAGACGGGGTCTCACTCTTGCTCAGGCTGGTCTCGAACTCCTGACCTCAAGCGATCCTCCCGCCTCAGCCTCCCAGAGTGCTGGGACTACAGGCATGAGCCACCGCTCCCAGCAGGAGCTGCCCACTCTTGACTGTCATGAGAATGAAGCGTGGCCAGTGCTCCATCATCCACAGAATTTGTCTTGGCAGTTTTTGTTCTCTATTTGTATCGGCACTTTCAGGTCAATTAGGGCAACTAAATTCAGCTAAGTTCAACTCAGTTAAGGCAAGGGACATAGTAAAGCAGAGTATGCAAGTAGTGCTTTGCCATATCCCTAAGGGCCTCCGTAATGTCTAATATGGATTTAAAACATTTATCTTCGACAGGCGCCCTGACGCTGCTTCTCCAACCCCGCTGCCCACCTCATTCTCCACAGTGGCTCTTCCTGAGTCCCCCACAGATGACCTGCCCTCCCGATGCAGAGGAAACAAGACCCCAGCCTTGATCCTGAGTGTCCCCTCTGAGTGGCCAAAATGCAGATCTGCTCATGCGGCTCCCTTTAATGACCTCAGCTCTGGGGCAGAGTCCAAACCACATGGTGCAGCCATCAAGGGTTCCCTGGCTCTCCTGCTCCTTTCGTCGTGGTTCCCACCACACCTCACCTGGAATCCTGCTTTCAATCCCCTGAACAGGTGATATGCTGGACATGCTCAGCTTTCTGCTTAGGAACTCTCTCCTTCCTCCTCCTCCTCCTTTCCTTCTCCTCTTGCTTAATTATATCCATTCCTCCTTTAGATCCCAGCCCTCTGGAAGCTTCCCTTGACCTCCCTACCATCCCACCCTCGGTCTGGCTTGAGTTCTTCCCCAAAGCTCCAACAGTGCCCTGTTCATCCCCCAGCAGAGGCGCCACGTTGCCCCATATGCTTCATATCTGCCTCGTCCTCACACAGGCCCACAGCCACCCTCCCACCATGGGCACTCAGAGGGCACAGACCCTGCCTCCCTGTCATTACAGCCCCATCTGCTAGTACAATGCCTGGCACAGAGGAAGCACTCAAATGTGGGAAGAGTTAGACATAAGTTGAACCGAACACAGGTTCAAATTTCCGCATTTTTTAGCCGATCACCATCATAATTGAAATGGTAAATACGCATGTTAATTCATATATAAGTATACACAGTAAATTACTAATCAAAAGTATAGAAAAAATTATCTTAAGCTTACTTTCCCTAAAATTGATACCAGCTGTGTTAACAAGTACTTTTTCTTTCTTTTCTTTTTTAGAAACAGGGTCTCGCTCTGTCACCCAGGCTGGTATGCAGTGGCATGATCATAGCTCACCATAACCTCGAACTCCTGGGTTCCAGCAATCCTCCTGCCTCAGCCTCCCGAGTAGCTGGGGCTACAGGCATGTGCCACCATACCTGGCCAAGGGAGGTTTTAAGAAAGCACTGTGGCTCAGTGCAGTGGCTCATGCCTGTAATCCCAGCACTTTGGGAGGCCAAGGCGGGAGGATTGCTTAAGCCCAGGAGTTTAAGACCAGCCTGGGCAACAGAGCAAGACCCTGCCTCCACTAAAAAAAAATTTTTTTTAACCTCCCCTTTAGTCTGTTCTGCTGCATGACATGTGCTCCAGGAGTTTCCATTGCCATAAAGAAATACTATGTTCCAGACCTGAGCAAGAGTGAGACCCCATCTCTACTAAAAATAGAAAAAAATTAGCCAGGCATCATGGTGCCCACCTGTAGTCCCAGCTACTCAGGAAGCTGAGGCAGGAGGATCACTTGAGCCCAGGGGTCTGAGGTTGCTGTGAGCTAGGCTGACGCCACGGCACTCACTCTAGCCCGGGCAACAGAGGGAGACTCTGTCTCGAGAAGGAGGGGAGGGGAGCACTATGTTGTATACCTGCCAAAGTTGTATACCTGTCCATGTCTCAGTCCAAAGTGACAAAGATTGAAAAAAATCCTCAGCTTACACATGAATGTTCACAGCAAATCATTCATAATAGCCCAAAAGTGAGAGTAACCCAAAAGTCCATCAAGTGACAAGTGGATAAACAAAATGTGGCCTCTCCGTATCACAGAATATTATTCAGCCATGAAAAGGAATAAAGCACTGATTCACGCTACCACACAGATGAACCTTGAAAACATGCTACGTGAAAGTAGCCAGTCAAAAAAGGCTACATTTCATATGATGACATTTATACGAAGTGTCTAGAATAGGCAAATCCACAGGGACAGAGAGGAGACCAGCGGTTGCCTAGGGATGTGGCATGGCAGGGAATGGGGAGTGACCGCTGTAGAGTTGCTTTTGGGGTGAGGCGGTGTTCTCAAATTGATTGTGGTGGTGCATGTACCACATAAAGTGAATATACTAAAAAACACTTAATTGTATGTTTTAAGTAGGTAAATTGCATGATCCATGAATTATATCACAATAAAGCTGTTATTAAAAATAACGACACCTCAGAACCAAAATTACAGTAACATAAATGCCCTTGGCCGTGCGTGACAAAGGCTCCCCTCAGAGAATGTGTCTTGGTTAGTGGGTCACCTCCTTCGTGAACCAGCAGTCATCGCCAAGAGCAGAACCTAGGCCTTCCGCAGGCTATGAGGGCAACACAGCTCCACGCAGCACCGGGAGTCCGTTGGCATCAAGCGGTTTGGGGAGGGAAGGCACTGCAGTTTTGAAAAGGCATACGGTATATCAATTTTACATACAGGGGTGGGGATGCATATACAAAAAGACTAACCTACATAAAAATCATCCTGGGAAGGAACTGAGTTGAAGAATACCCATTTGGGGCCAGGCACAGTGGCTCACATCTATAATCCCAGTGTTTAGGGAGGCCAAGGTGGGAGGATAACCTGTGCCCAGGAGTTTGAGACCAGCCTGGGCAATGTAGCAAGATCCCGTCTCTAAAAAAAATTTAAAACTTAGCCGGTCATGGTGGCGCATGCCTGTAATACCAGCCACTCGGGAGGCTGAATTGGGAAGACTGCTTTAGCCCAGGAGTTTGAGGCTACAGTGGGCTATGATTGTGCCACTGCACCCCAGCCTAGACAACACAGCGAGACCCTGTCTCTAAAAAAACAAAAATACCCATTTTGTTGCCTGACTCTCTTACCAGTCAG